TTAAACCAAATCGAATATAAAATTAATTTCATAATTTAAATTTCCCTATCGGTAATTAATAGGGGGGGTAGGGGGGTGGGACCCTGGTTTAATTTCTTTAATTAAACGGAGTTCCCTGCAGTATCGTTTTTTTTTCCAAAATTTTTCAATTAAATATAACCTCCATTTATTTTTTAAGATAAGAAATTAATCCAGAAAATTTCCAGTTAAGGTCCCACCCAGCATCCCCCAGCTAAAAATTAAACATGTTACTCGGCAATACCTGGTTTAATTTTACAGGATCATTGGGTTAATTTTATTTTGCCAAGACCAAATATTAAACCACCTAGTTCTACAGATGCCAGTGAGATTTGGTGTAAAAACAATTGCATCCACCATTTTTCCCCCCAAGTACGTGAATCAACTCAATTTTCTCAAAATTAAACCCCATAGTTTAATTTCAGCTGTTTTAGCTCATTGTATTGCCTGGTGTTCCGCCTCGGGATACTGCAGCCATGGTTCCTGACACGTGTCCTAGCACAGCTCCGTGAAGACGATCCGGCGTGGACAGCAAGGTTCTTACACAATTGGGAACAACATTGCTGCAGCCCAAATGCTCCATCTCAAGCAGAGCAAGTCCATGGGAAAGGCGCTGCGGGACCATGGGAAACAGTTTCTATCTGTTTCGGGCCCCTTGCGTGATCCCAGATCAGGTCAGAATAATTAATCAAGGGGTGGGTAAGTCCATACATATTAAACATTTATTTATCAGGACACCTTTAGCACCATAATATTCATGGGATTTATGGTTACCAGAATAATTAAACAAGGGGTAGGTAAGTCCACATTTGGTGAGATATAAGTGTCAAAATAATTCGAAAGTAGCAAATCCAATGAGATTCCATCAGGTTCCTTCCTTTGTAATAACCAAAAATAAAAATTCAAGAAAAAACAATCAATTATAATAACACCAAAGGTATCCCAATATATGAGTCTTTATAAATGCCAAGAACATGTGAACTTATCCACCCCTTGTTTAATTATTCTGGTAACCATCAATGCCATAGATATTGTATAATATTATGGTATTGGGGGTGCCCCAATGGAAGAACTGATCCTAAATGCCCAGTACATGTAGACTCACCCACCCCTTGTTTAATTATTTTGGTAACCATAAATCCCATGAATATTATGGTGCCAAAGGTATCCTGATAAATAAATGTTCAGTACGTATGGACTCACCCACCCCTTGATTAATTATTCTGACCTGATCTGGGATCACGCAAGGGGCCCGAAACAAATAGAAACAATTTACCATGGTCCCGCAGCGCCTTTCCCATGGATTTGCTCTGCTTGAGATGGAGCATTTGGGCTGCAGCAATGCTGTTCCCAACTGTGCAAGAACCTTGCTGTCCACGCCGGATCGTCTTCACGGAGCTGTGCTAGGACACGTGTCAGGAACCATAGCTGCAGTATCCCGAGGCAGAACACGAGGCAGCACAATGAGCTAAAACAGCTGAAATTAAACCATGGGGTGGGTCACATCTCAAAATTAAACCAACTCAACTTTCTTCAGGATCTTAAGGAGGTGGGTGGACCCCCTGTTTTCGTAAGATTTTTTAAATTAAACCCAACAAATTAAACCTAACTCAGTGTCCACCTGGTTTAATTTAGTTAGTGCATCCCACATTAATTTAATTTCGATATATTTAATATAAAATTCAAATTTAATTATCAAAAATAATCGATATTATATTATTTTATTATATACCTATAAAAATTATTTCAATAATTTCTTTCCCCTAATACTAAATTGTCCATTTATTTTTCTCAATTATTTATGTTTTAGATATCTTTAAATACGGAAAAAAATAATGATTGGGCTTCTCATCAGCTAGATCCCGTTTATTTTGCAATTTTTATACCACTATATAGACTATATAATATTGATTATTTGTCTTATACTATCATCTATCGTCAGGCAGTACCATTATTTTTACTCGTTTTCCTGTGCTAGATCGCATCGCCTCTGAGAAAAACATAGAAAAACACGCCCGCCGGCTGTCAGACTTCGCAACGCGCGGGAACAATCGAGGTTGTCCCGGCGAGCGGCTCGCCGTTGGTCAAACAACCCTTTTAGCCAAGTAGAAAAGATCGGAGTTGACCATCAATAATAAGGATTTTACCACATAGATAGGGTTTAAACTTAACCAAAATAAGAGTATCTAGATCAACGAATCCATCCAAAATATAGAAATTGACCAATCATAATCAAACATGGAAATTTACCAAATATCTGGATGGATGATGTCATAATTTATCAACATCCAATGTTGGGCGAGCTTGGGACAGTGACCTGTACGCTCACCATCATTTCGGTTTAGGATTTTCGCGGCCAATCTTAGGCACTCTGTAAAAAGGCATCGGTACAGCAGTTAGACTAATCCCATTTGTAGCAAACAATTTGAAAGGAAAGTGCCCATCCAAGGTCTGCGTAGAACATGTAGAAATCATGCCCGTGCGTATTTAGCAAAACATAATCCCAAAACAATATTCTTAGTGGGACAAACACATCTTCTCTTGGAATTGGAAGACCATGAAACCCCAGTTATCATCGTGGAACCAGTGGCAAAAACCAACCAGCAAGCAATGGCATCCTGCAAGAATACGCGTCATATACGCGTCATTTCAGCTGACACAACCCGAATGAAAACGAAAAACACATGTGGCAAATAAAAGCCTTTCTTACCAGTTCAAGGTGTATCTGGTTGGTGGTTTCAAACCCCTCTGAAAAATATGAAAGTCAATAGGAAGGAATATCCCATATATATAATTATTATGGAAAAATAAAAAATGTTTGAAACCACTAACCGGGTATGTTTGAATACCATTCAACCATTCAACTATTGCAGCAGGTTCTTCCACAGCTGACCAACTGAACACTTTATTCATCTAGGCATGGACGTTCCCTGAAATCAGCTCACCATCTAGTTCTGGCACCTACCCTCTAAAGAAGACAACAAGAAGATTTGTGTGGCTTATTGTGGCTTCCAACCGAACAGTTTTTTCCAGTTCCATTCAGCATTTCGCCTGAGGGAATGTCCTACAGTCTGTAGCGGGCCAAGCGAACTTCTGGGGCATTGACCGACCGACACAAAGCGTTTGACCCTTCGTCGGCTTGGCCGACAAAACGGTCGACGGCAACGACCGTGGTTTGTGTCGGGTGTAAGCGCAGCGCCCTGCCGTTGTTCTGGGTTTCTCCAATCAAGTAGCCAAGGGTTCATCATGGTTCATCTATTTCAATCTGCAGGTCAAAGATCCTGGCTTAATGGCTAGAAAACATCAATTTGTTGAAAGAGTACCTACTGTATGAGACGAGCATTTACATCATCATATCCCATGATATCTTCCGTTATATGTCTTGTGGAATGGCTGCAATTTTTCCCAATGGATCCCCGTTCCGCGCAGGGCTGTCGCAAGTTGTCCCATGCCGTGCCACCCCATGCGCCACCGGGCAATCCGCGCGACTTTCCGCGGTGCCCCGGCAAGCCATCGGGTTGCAGGGCATGGGGGGTTGGCATAGCGACCAACAGCTATAGACAAAAGCAATGTCCTCCCAAGCCGCCGACCAAGGGCCAATATCTTAGATACCAATTGAAGATGCACCGACATACAGCGACATGAAACACCAAAATTGGGGAATGGGATAGGAATACAGTTTAGCCAACAATGAAATGGTCTATGGTCGCCCAATTTGTGGCTATTTTGAGGTAAATGATGATTAACCATCGAATTTCTGGGTACCTTTCTGGGTACCCTATCTTCAAACCCATGTGGGTGCAACAACTTGCAATGGGCTGATACCCGGACTGATTTGCAAACGACAACCCCGAACATGTCTCACATCAAGGGTTTTCTACCTAATCAAGCATGGCCATTAAAAATCATGTATAAAAGGGACTTTACGTAGCCATGGGAAATGGCCCATTTATAAAGGTTTACCTATTAAAAATGGTGGATCTTCCCATGGCTATGTTAGTCATAACCAGATGGTAAAAGGGATTGTCATTCAAAAATCATCTGTGGATTGGTGTTTTCCATCGGAATGTTTGATTGCCAGAAGGTAGCCTTCAGTCATCTTACTTGGCTGGTTGGTGGTTTCAAACATTTTTTATTTTCCATTTCATACAAGGGATGTCATCCTTCCCATTGACTAATATTTTTCAAGATGGTTAAAACCACCAACCAGTTGGTCATGGACGTCACACAGCAATAGCTGTGCATCCACAATGTGAAATAGCTGAATATGCTGAATGAACAAGATGTGTCCCAAGCTTTGTCACTTACAATATTTGGGTTTGTGTCAAAATATCATCGTCATTTTACCTATTACATGGCCAAACAACATAACATAGGGGTATCCACCATTTTCGGGCGCACTCATTGCATGATCAGTTCATCATTTTCATCAGCCCATATCAGCGGAGTCTCCGGGCTGGGAGCAGCGGCTTGCACCTGCGGCCACGGATCACAAAATGGCCAATGGCTGCAATGGGTTTCTCTTAACATGTGGTGAAATCCCATGGTATATCTTTAAGTTCAACATTAAACTTGTTTGTAGTTCAGGGGTACCGGGTATACGTGACAATCTGAAGAACCCATGGAGATTCTGATAACTAAGCACCACAGTTTGGCTCATCTAATTTTTAGACACACCCACATGCCACTTGTTGATGTGGTCTTCCCAATAGCTTGGGGTACCTGAGCATCTGCGTCAAGTATCATCATGATCTACGGATCGCCGGTCCCAAAACCGCATGGTGAATTGGATGTGGTGTTCCATAATCAGCTCCTCTATGTGGTCATCCGATCGGAGACGCCCCAAAAAGTCCAAAAAACATGGCTGCCCCCATTCCAAAGTCCAAAAAACATCGCATTTTAAGGGTGATCACTTAGGATCTCATATTTTGGATAACCCTCTGGATCTGTATGACTTCCTTCAGCTAAGAAGTGCGAAATCACTGTACGACCCCAACAATTGAAACCACACGGGCTAATTAGGCGGCACACATGAACCTATCACAACTTATCGTGGTTCCTGATGCATTTTCTTGGTGGTTTGTTCTAACATGCAGAACTGCCTAGCCCCCTGTTCATTGTACAAAGGGAAACTAAAGTGCGTATTGTTTGTGGGACTTCGATTCTGACGGCTGGACCAAAACCTTCTCTGATGGGGTGCCTGACCTAATGTCAGAGTCCATGAACGCAGATTAAAACTGCCATGCCCAATTGAAGACCAAAAGCTGAGATTCAGCACGTGAACATCTTGAAGGTATAGCAGAGTCATGCAGAATCATTTTCTTTATCGCTGCACAAGACATATCGTCATGCCCCATGGCCATTTTAGCGCAGCCAGGGTGCAGCTGGTGGTGGTTCTGATGGCGGTTGCCACCAGGGTGCCAGGTCTTTTGGCACCACCATCCGCACGGTGGCCTTGGGATTGGCGGCATAGATCGACAGCAAGAGCTGGCCGTCAGGTAGGACCAGCTGCAGATCCTGAAGGCTGACGTTGAGGTCAGAGGCGATGCGGCTGTGAATGTCCGAGGCCAAGTCGGAAGCCAAGGCCTCGAAGCGCAACTTCTCCGCCCCAGCCAGATTGGAGCAGATCCAGGTGACGCTCACCAGGTCTTTGAAGGCAAAGTCCACTTGCAAAATGAGATCCTTCCCACGTGGCCGAGCAGGATCTGCAACATAGACACAGCCACGCTTTTTGATCGTTGGAATGTCACATTGTCCGTGATGATTCCAGCCGGAAGCCACAGCCACGCCATCGCTTCGAAGAAACACGCTATGAAATCCACCTGCATAGACCTGGATGTACGACATGTTTTCACCGAGAGGTGGAATGTTGCATTGTCCATATTGATTACGTCCCACAGCAACGGCACAGCCGTCACTCCGGAGCAGGACAGTATGAGCACTCCCGCCTGACACCTGGATGTATGACATGCCGTTCTTTAGGGCTGGAATGTTGCACTGGCCGTGTTCATTACTTCCGCAAGCTACGGCGCAACCATCACTTCGGAGAAGAACCGTATGAAAGCTGCCTGCAGAAACTTGGGTGAACCTGATTCCTTCAGCCAAAGGAGGGATGTCACATTGTCCGTCAGATCTTTCCCCGCAAGGTACAGCCCTGCCATCACTTCGAAGAAGTACTGTATGCCACGCCCCAGCAGCAACCTGGGTATAGGAAAATCCACCATCCAAAGCTGGAATATCGCATTGTCCATGATGATTGCTTCCATAAGCTGCTACCAAGCCGTCACTTCGGAGAAGAACCGTGTGAGCTGTCCCTGCATCAACGTGTGTGTATGGAATGGCTTTCATATATAAAGGTGAAAACTCACATTGTGCATGAAAATTGCTGCCGGAAGTCACTACACTGCCATCAGATCGGAGAAGGACTGTATGACATCCACCTGCAGAAACCTGAGTGTATTTCATTCCTTTCTCCGGAGGAAGATCCGGAATACTGCATTGTCCGTAGGTATTACTCCCGCAGGCCACAGCATGGCCATCACTTCGGAGAAGCACTGTGTGATACATGCCTGCAGAAGTTCTTCCAGCAGAATTGTTTGACCAAATTTGCGCCAAAAACACCTCAGAGGCTCTTGGACCAAAAAACTCTCATAGCAGGAGATGGTTCAGCCATTGTCACAGTGCGTGGACTCTCAACGGCTCAGCCATTGATCAGAGTTTAATCCAGGTACCCTCTGGCAAACTAACATATCTATGGAAAATCACTATTTTTAATGGGTAGTCATCCACTATACATGGGCCATCTATACCATAGCTTTTTGTATGTTTACCAAAGGGTAGCTTTCGATTGAGTAACAGCTCATCCATTGGAAACAGCCGCAAGAGTGTCATCACAACCCGAAATTCACTATGGACAACCGCTTTTACACCTTGAAGAAAAAACAATTTTGGATTTGCCACCCTTTCACAAACCAATTTCTAGTGACATTACTACGTGAGCCAGAATCTTCCGCGGATCTTCCTTGGTTGGTTCATCCACGAGCTTTTTCCGGAAATCCATGGCTTCGTTTCGGGATGCCGATCCGATTGGCTCCCATGATTGCAGGCTCCTGGCTCACATCCCAAAATCCACTGGCAACAAAAAACGCATCTGAAACGGGAGATGATCACCATTTTTGAAGGGTGAAATCCTGGATTTTTGGTGAACATCATCCAAGTCCCATGGATTTCTGTGGTAAAATCCGTGCCCTTCGTTTGCGGATTCCCAACGTCATGGGCGCAGCTCACCGCCTCTCAACTTCTCTCGCTGGCTACGCCATCACTGCGCTCATCTGCCTCAAGGGCCCATTTCTGGATGATTTCATGGGGATTTTAACAGCCCCAAAGGTGACCCCCCCCAATATGGGTGTGTAGATACAGACATACATAGTTACATAGCTATATATTGAAAGCAAAACTAGATATACCTACAGTTTGCTAGCGTACCTATGCATGCGTATACATACAGTTGATTTATGATGTATGTGTTTGTGTGCACACGCTGGACTTCTTCGAAGGGTGCATGAAAATAATTCAGCGAGGGACAAAAATGGGTGACATGTAGATGTGGCACCTCGCCACAGGGTCAGATCTTCCCCAAAGTCTTGCCTTGAAAATTGAAAATTGGCATTCCATTGGCTTGTCCTCCTATTGTTCCTCAAATGGCAGACAAACCCTATGACTTTGACATTTGACATTGGAAGATTTACTGTCAGAAACAAATGATGGAAAGACCTTTGGGAACTGTCATGTTTTGATCCAACTCATGGCTTTTCAAATTTCTGCCTGAAGGGGGGCCAGTTATGAGTTGGTTTGGAAACCCATCAAACTATAGATATATCATGAGATATCTGCTGCAACCATAGTAGACCTAGTTATAACTACACATTTACTCATCTTGAGCATCTCACATTGTGGCCCGCGCTTGCGCGTTGTCTTCATAATGCACTTCCAAATGGGATCAGCCCACTGCATGGACGTATATATCTATATATATATATTTATACACATATTACATACATATTGTATATATATATTATATATTAATATTAATATATAAATAATATATCATAAAAATGTATACCTCCCAAATTGGAGAAATTCAGTGCAATCCCAGCCATTCAGCCATTCATTGAGCGCTCGCTGTTATTATCCCAGGTCACGCCTTGGGCGAATCAATTGGCACAGGCTCATCCAAGCTGATCGCACAGTCCTGCCATGAACCGAAACGATTTGAAACGATCCACCTGCACCCGAATGGAAAAACCTTTTTTTCCCAATGAAAAGTTGGCCGTGAAGTCAATTGCTGAACATCGATGAGGTGTTTTGTAATGAAGAAAAATCCATTTTATTGAAGCGCCATTCATAATAAACAGAAGACATTCTTGTTGGTCGTAGACTGATTGTGCAAAGCAACACATGCAGCTGCATTTTCTACTTGATTGATATGAATCACCCAAGTTTGACCTAAACCCATATCTCCAGGTCACCATTTGATCCGTGTGAAGGAGACCATTTGTCATCCCTTGATATTTCTTGCTTAAGACGGCACGGCTCCCACTTCATGGATGATTCAATCCCAATTTTTGTTGGCAATTGGATTGTATATCCCCTACAATAATCGACCAACAAGAGTGTTGACCATAACAATGCTTGCTTAAACTCAAACAATTTTCCACTACATCTACACAAAAAAGGTCCATTCTTCATTGGAAGAAACCCAAGCCCTCTGGTAATCCAACATAGCCATCATGATTGTCATTATTTCTTTAGTAGGTAAATTATCTAGGAATGATCAATTTTGGCTATGTTCAATTACAAGAGGGGTCGGATCCCTATCTATCTATCTATCTATCTATATATATACATACACTACAGTATACCTCCGTGACACTCCATTACATCCTATGAAATACCACTATGCGGCTACATGTACATTTTTACTGCTTTTTGGTCCCATCATTTTGGTGTCTTCCCCCATGAACCCTGCCTCCACATCTGCAGGGCGGTCATCTTCCAGTATGCAGCGCTCCAGGAGCACCGGCGACTTTGGAAGATCCTCCGACTCCACGGAAACCGCGGCAGAGGCGACGTCGTCGTGCTCCTGTGGAAAAGGCTGGGTTTCAACCACTGCAATATGACCACCCTGTAGGAGAACATGGGAAAACCCTATGAAATCCCATGGTTTATCGGATCATCGTCCTGTTTCTCAAAATTCATGGCGGTTTTGGGGCGTGTCAGCCATACAGAAAGTGGGCAAACTTCCAATCTATAGAGATTGGCAAAGGTTTGGGAAAGGGAAATTCTTAAGGTTTGAAAAAGGAGATGATGTAAACCCAAAAGTTACATGGGATACTATGAAATAACATGGGAAATTATGGGACTATGATGATGGGCGTGGCATGAGCATAACAAACCACCCCCACTTTCACATTTTATACATCATTTTTTTGGGGGTGATGATGTGATGTTTATATGACTCCGGACGGTTGCTGGGATGGAAAAGACCATAGTATACTTACCTTAGAGCCAAAGTCATCTATGTCTGCGGCAGTGTAAATCGATTTGGTCCATCAGCTTCCCTAATTTTTTCCATGCTCAAAGTTCCCATGAGGCAGATGGGCAGGTCTTGGAATCGCAATGGCCTAGCCTACCTAGCCTCAATTTATGTCAAACAGTTTGCGAACTTGAAAATGGCCATAGAAAGTTCGTTGATGTACACATGAAAAATAAAAATGGTGATTTTCCACAGGGTATGTTTAGGAACTGTTTGCCATTTTGGCAATTTGTCCATCCATCCATCCATCCCACGTTTCCACTGTGCAATTTAATCTTTTCCTCACTGAGCTATGGGTCAAAGGTTCAGTTTTCAATGTCTTGGTGGAGACATATATTGCGCAATTCATGGTTTCATAAAGATTAAACAATAAACCAAGAAAACAAAGGTATGCTTACTTGGATCCGCATTCCATGCTAAGAAGTGGCTGTTGGTCCCATGTTTTCACTCAATTCTGTCTGGAATATCCCCAGTTGTCGATCAAACAATATCAGATACTGATTATTGATTATCCTTGCTGAAGTATATGTAAAACATTCCTATATTCCCCAAAAATGGACGTAGCCATGTCTTATCAGATCCTACCATTGCTTTTTCCATACTGACTGGGGTCTCATCAAACATGTTCAGGATGATATGGGGGTACCTTGACCTTAAAACTAGGGGTAGACATCCATTTTTTGAGGGTTAATGTTAATGGGGGTCATTTTCGGCTTCGTTTTAGGTGGCCCAGCCAATAACCCCATATTTTTGGCACATGTTGGTGTAGCATGTTGGGCATCGCGGTCCTCAAAGTCCTGGCTTTCTGGGGGCGCCAAGAAATCCTAGAGCTGGGGATGCTGATCGGACGGCACGGCAACCCATGTTTCACCAAGGCATGTTGGAATTTCATCGAGAAACATCCACATACAAGAGGGTGCCCCCCAGTTATGTTTGTTGGCTTTATAAACCATAGCAAGTATAGATATATCTACCATAAACCATAGTTAATTGGAGTTATTTGCAACAACTTAGCTATTCCGAACTGGGGCACCACCTTGTACAATGATATGGAATTAGGCAAGCTAACTAAAGTTGGAAATCGTAGCCACGACCAGCAATACAAGGTGGGGGCATGTGAGGGCAGCGGATCTTCGAGTCAGGACATGGCGAAGACATTTTCCAAAAGGGACGGAGTCAATGTGTGCATCACATAAGCGCCTGGTCATTCAAAGCACTGAAAAAAATTCAGGTTGGTCTGTACTTTCCCGGGGAACTTACATATTTCAAAAGCCTAAAAAAAAACATCTGACAGGGTCGTTCGAACTTGCCTAGTTATGCGTAATTTCAGAGATGGTCAGTATAGAGTATATTGTCCTGTTTACATCCATTTGTAGTGTTGTAGCAATAGATCTAGTGACGCAGCAACTTACGAGCAACTATCCATCCAAATGGTTGACGCAAATTTGAACTACCAATCAGCTTGGTTTCAAATCAGCTTGGTTTCAGGGCTATCCTTTTTTTCAAACAAAACCAGAACCTGGGTTTGTTCAAAAAAGATTGACAGACTGTAACTCTCAGCTTCAAAGCATGTGACTAAACTGCAGTTACCGTTTTAGTTGGCCCAGTACCTTTGAAATCACCATTGACACGCCATCAAAGCCCGCAACTGCCTTCTTATCCACCCAGTGTGAAGGTAGGCTTCCCTGGCGCTGGGGAGGTTGCATTTGGACAGGTGGGTTTTTCTTAAAATGGGGAATTGATGGGACTTGGACCCCATTTTTATGACCATATCAATGCAATGAAGTTGTGACAATCGGATTTTGATCTTCCAAATTTTGATACATCATTGTATCACAAACCTTTTTGTCGGCTCGTTGTGTCCGGGGCGGTTCTATACATGTGTGGTTCGCAGGGTGCTAAAATTTGACCCGCTGCGATACATACCCATGATTAACAGCGTTCGTGCATTGCTTATTCCCTTCCAATCCATATCTTGATTCATTTGCAGTATTGCTTTATTGCTGCTTTATTCACTTCCCCTCTGCAGAGCTATGAAAACTGGCTTATGTAGTTCAATGATTTACCTGTTAAAACAGGGTCATCTCCATAGCAAACTGTTAAATTACAAGAGGGTATATGTCCTGTTGGTTCCACATTCTATCTTCATTGTTCCCATTAAGTGAATTTTCATCCAGCACCGTTCCTAGGATTATACCAACTATACCTATATATATATATATGTATGTATCTCATATATCAATTATTAATCCGCTTGATGGATTATATTCCCAGTACCTCTTGAACATATCCAGCGCCAACCACTGTTAGATGGTCTTTTTGAATATCCTATTAAATCCCATCATTATATCTTCATAATTTCCAGCGACACATTTCATCCAGCGCCAATCCCAGTGGATAAACCATCTAAACTATTAACATATGAGTGGTTTATTATTGCTGCACTAACATTCTGGGTAAACTATAATAATTCACTAACCTGAAATAAGGCCATGAACGGGGATGATTCCCCTTACTAACCATGATTCCAGTGAGGGAGAACAGCGAGGTCCATATAATTTATCCAGAACATTCATCTCCCCAATCTTGCCAATTTATGGCTGCTATAAACATTATAAACTATCAAAATATGGGTGTCTATCATTGCGGCACTACGGGAATTTCTTACATAGCTTGAACATGGCCCATTGAGTTCGTTGATTTACCTATGAAAAACTGGTGATTTTCCAGTTCGCAACCTGTTAGTTTGCCGCTAACATGTCGCAACCTCCGCCAGAGGAGTGACATCGAAGGAGACCGTGGCGCTCACTGTGGTGGCGCCATCCTGTCGGCTTTCGGGCGCACTGGGGCAGCAAAAAATGGTGGCTTTATCTAGGAAAAATGGGTGCTGTAACCAGGGGAAATGGCGATTTTAGTGGCAAAAACTGCTGAGTTCACTAGAAAAAAACCATGACCCCAGATGATCTCACGAAGTGTTTCTTTTTCCCGGCAAACCCAGGGTGTTCTCAACAAAACATACAGTAAGCATTTAGCAAAAACATGGTGATACAACCAGCCGTCATAGTGGTCACAAGCATTAGATTCCACCAGTATAATGATTGCGCTGGTAAAAACCAATGATCGCACAGGGGAAAGTAAGTTGCACACATGTGGAAATTAGACCACGCAAATATCCACAAGTTGCAAAACAACAATAAAACTCAGCAGATTGGTGCACAGAAATGGATAAATCAAACCATTGCAATCAGCATATCTTTACTTCATAGTAGCAGCCCTGCCAGAAACTGTGATTTTTTACCAACAGCATATGAGCAGTGGCTGCTAAAGCCCTGATGGTTCAGGATTACGGGGTGTTATCTATAGTATCCAGTATTACACACCCTTTAAAATTCACGGATGATGAACATGTTTAAAGTCTTGGAAAAGATAGGCACTGGTAGGACCACTGGGCATTATATGTACTATATAAAAATATATACATTTTGTTATGTATATATATATACAATCACCCTGGAGTAGATAGAATAGAATGTGGCAATTTACCAAAAAAACATCAAGATGGGTATATCTTTGAACGTCACATATTCTGAATAATTTTAACTATTTCAGGATAATCACATATATGTATTATACTATATATATAAATATATAATATTATATATCTATACGAAAATACTAAATGAACCACCAAGTATGTACCCTCCAAATAGTCCATGGCTCCCCCGTCCTTGTCTTCTTGACTTTCCTGCGATCACTCCGTGAAGCACTTGACGATAAATCAGCATGATTTTCGATGTTTGCTGGTAAACAACCACCATGTTTCATCATTTTTCCGCAACAAAAACACAGTTTTTGCCTTCTGGTAAACTAACAGTTTGCTGAAAATGGCCATTTATATTGTAGTGAGTTTTCCCATTGAAAAATGGTGATTTTCCCATGACAAATGGTGATTTTCCCATGAAACATGGTGATTTTCCATCGTTTTTTGTAAGTTTACCAGAGTTTTCGTCGCCAATTCACACCACGACTTCGTTTCGGCGTTTCGACACCAACAACGCAAAAACGCCTCCGCCACGCTGGTGGCCGGGAACTCCGTGACGCTGAAGGACACGGCGCTGCTGGAGGCGGCGTAGTCCTGGTTTGAAAGTGGGTTGACTGGGAAAGACCTTGGAAAACGGGTGATTTCTGTCCCATGACGGATCCATGGTGCTGCTTTTTTTTTGGTGACATTTAGCATCAATATAGCCCAAATATTAGCATATATACCAGCACCATGGATCCTATGGGTATTGATTTATGTGATTTCTATTGATTTCTGTGATTTCTATTGATTTATGTGATTTGACACAAGTGGTGATAGCAACACTATGATTCTAGAATGGTGAGTTTTTACATTACTTGCGAAGTTGGTCCGCTCCAGTTCTGCGGTTACTCTGGGAGATGAACGGAACTCCAGAAAATAGTCGGGCAAGAGAAGAGAAACTGAGAAAGTGGACGTGTTTGCTTCAACTGGTTCTGGATTTCCTTGTATTTCCGTAATAATTTAATAATGCGTATATATCATGTCCGTTCTTTCAAGACTCTCCATCTGTCTCTTTTCCTTTTTCTTTTCTCCGTACCATTCTCCGTCTTTGGATCGAACCACAAAAACATTGACGGAGATAGCAGTGCTGGAGGTAGAACATGTTTGTCACTTCCATAGTGGTAAATCTCTGGGCTCTTTGCTTTGCTTTGCGTTCTACATGGTGATTTGAAGAAGAACAATGGTATAATGAGGATATCATGGGATATAATATGGTGATTATCCAACATTGTTCTTCTGGGATGTAATGGGATATAAGCTTTACCCCCCATTGTTTATCCCATGATGGTGATTATCTGGATAAGCTATAAACAAGCCACGGAATTCATCCACCATGGTGGGGATATCTGGTGAGTAACCTGGAGGATAGTGGATGGCTTGTATGGTAATAACCATTACCCTCTGGTAAACTAACAGTTTGCGAACTTGAAAATGGCCATAGAAATAGTGAGTTTTCCCATGAAAAATCGTGATTTTCCATAGTTATGTAAACGTTTACCAGAGGGTACTATATACACTCACAATCACAAAGAGTGACTAAAAGTGGGATTGTGTTTCAGTTACAAGGCAGGGTCCAAGTGCCCAAGTCGGAATCGCGAAGTTTACGAGTCTCGTATAACTAGTAATTCACTGTTGGGTTTATATATGGCAATGAAGTAACTATCTCTATATATAAATATATACACAGTCAATGAGGTGAAACTAAACCAGCTTATATCAACAAGTTGGAATTTGTCAATAGCTAAAAACCGAATATGGAAGTATCGTATATCCGCCGTAGCCATGGCTACCAGCTCTGGATTTACCTAATTATAAGTGCCCCATCGAGTTTTATCAACCCAACTTGGAATTAACGTGAAATTATTTTGCAACTATCCCTCAACTTCAACTTGGGTTTCATGCTTGGTATACCATGTTGGGTGATCTTTACAGAAAATCGTTACACCAATATTTTAGGGGACGTGATTACTTGCTCAGAGCCCCGGTCGGTTCACTCACCGCGACCTTGGCTGGTAGCCCGGCGCTTCCGAGACAGGGTTCCTGGAGCTGAACATGACATCAGCATTAGGATGGGTAAATATATATATATATACAGTATCATTCAGACACTCATTAGCTACAAGGTGGTACCCTCCCAGTCATCTTTTTGGTTTATAAACCATAGTAGGTATAGATATAGCTAACATGCACCATGTTAGAATATGAATTATGGGAATGTAACCCAGAATGGATGTTCATTTTAGCTAGTTAGAATATGTTAGAATTACATCCAGAATGTATGCGCTCGCTAAAACTCAGAATGTCTATTGATTTGATGCATTTCTGTGGGAAAAACACCTCTTTTGGCAGCCAACATTTGTCAGATTTGCCTGCAAACATGCCTGGTGAAATCCACAGAAAGCAGCCCCTTCTAACGCTGTAGGAGATCCTTCGTTAAGCGATTTCAGCCCCCAACGCTGTGATACATCCGGATCCCCTAATCGACAGAGGTTTTTGTTGTGCTTTCGGTAAGAAATGGTAATCCTTTCCGTGACCCTTGAGCCTGCCGTCTTTGTGATCCCCTAAACAAGTAGCTGCGTCTATGTGATTATGGAAAATACATCAACGCGGCCAGGGCAAACGGCAAACTCATGATTAAATGATACAAGGTGGTACCCCCCCTAGTTTTAAGTTGGTTTATAAACCATAGTAGGTATAGATATCTCTACCAGAATAATGATATGAATAATATCCTGGGCTTTTCTCAACATTTCCGACCCGTTTTTGTACTCGCCTCAAAGACCACTTTCAAGCGGTCCTCAGACCTTGGTGAACGGAGGCTACGGGCTATGCCTACAGTTTTTTTGGCACCGTTTTAGGTGGAAAAATGATCAGAAGATCCCTACATTTTTGGACAACAAATCCTGTAACTGATGATAACTTGTGTTTCTGGTTGAGCCCGGGTTGTCTGGTGTGCTGGATTTGGGGGCCGTTTGCGCAGATAACTGGGTCAAACATGTTTGGTAGTTTGAAGGTGCAGGCCCATTTAATATTAAGAATGGGACTACGATTAGGCCCATCAATTATCAGTTAGTGTATAGCTGTATAGTGTGGTATAAACTATAAACCCATCTCACGAATTATTGCATTAGATATATCAACTATGTAGCCTATCTAAATCTACTATGGTATCTTATGGTATCTCACATTATTTAATCTTAAGGGGAGATCACAACCACTGACCGGCCACTGAGAGCCTCGCTTCCACAGCTCTTCGCCTTGGCATGAAATTGCCGGGAACACAAAATTCAGATTCATGTTCTGAGAGGAATCCAAAGGAACACCATGAAACCTATGGAAACACTCTTTTCTTGTTACAAGAGATGTTGAACCTGGGGGCATTACCATACCAACACAAGTTGAGATCAAGGTGGCTCTGGGTTGGTAACAATGGATGTCTCGGAAATTGCCGGAGGCCGCCAAAAAAAAGGCCATTGCATTGGGAAAATCATAGAAAAGTCCATCGCTCCGTTGGGAACCCAATTTATTGAGCAAAACCAACAGTCAATGTTCAACGAAACTGGTCTGCAGCGAATCATTGGGAACCGGGCCCATCATTGGCTACAATGTGGAGGCCCCCAGCCACGATAGCTAAGTTGGTGCATAGCTAAGTCCAATAACTATGGTTTATGGTATTTATAACGAACTAGTTACTGGGGCTTATAAACCAACAAACATAACTGGGGGAGGCCCATCATTGGCTACACTATTTCCATATAATCATCTGCAGTCTTCCATCCTCTCCTGGACTCTTATGGAACACTGAGGCTTGGTTTCTTCAAATGGGGGGATCCCCAGTCGTCACCATATCTTTCAATACTAAAATGGTCGAATTACTTGGATGATTTGCGGGGTACCCCCCATGGCTTCGGAAACCTCCACTTGGACAGTCCGCAGTTCCATCGCCGACTAAGCCCTCGGCATGGCTGCTGTTCATCAGGTACCACTGGGTCGTCACTTTCCTGGCACCACAACGATGGATGGCTTCAGCTCCAATGAGGAACATCTGTTGGCTCATGGGCTGAAAATGTTCTTCTATACACACATGTGTATACGTATATTGATGTATAGATGGTGAGAACAACGACGACGACAACAACAGCAACAACAGCAACAACAGCAACAAGAGCAACAACAAGAAAGAGAAATAAGAAGAACAACAAGATAAGAAGAAGAAGGAGAAGAAGAAGAAGAAGCAGAAGAAGAAGAAGAAGAAAGACCCATTTATCCGTCACATTTACAGGATTTGTCCATCAACCATCACCAAACCCCTGCAGTTTCTGTCTGAGTGGCATATAATCTTCATTGATTAATGGTGAAGCGAATAATCCGTTCACCAACCTTGACTCAGTTGCCTTCGCTTACCCATTTTTGTGGCACAATCATGTGTAATCTAATCTGTGGTAATTTAAACATAGCTACGGACAAGCACCATGAGTAATAGATAAATCAATATAATTAAATCATCTACAAATGGGCCATTTTCATCCACTAATTTCCCATAGAGATAAAGGCTTGAAACTCCCCACTTGGACACTTCAGCCAGTTCCGCCGGCACCTCCATGGGAAGGACCTGATTCTTGGGCGTGTCCCACAGGTGCTTTCCACCTGCACTCGGCTGCACTCGGGAGGGAGTTGGATGGTCATCTCATGGATGGTACTATGATAGTATGATATATGCCTGTTTATATATATATTATACACACATATTTACACACACAGGTAAAATATGTAACTCAATCCTAATGTAACATAAGGATTGGGTTGCCTACATTTTTTCTTGCAAACAAACAGAAAGCGGTCGTGCCGGCTTTTTTGGGATGCAGCTAGCTGCTGTGAAGGAGGATTGACAAGCAGCCAGACTCATATGATCATACGGATATTTACATATATCTACCCCAAACATACAAGGATTAAAGTGATTGCAAAGTCCACTGATCTATATGGCTCTTAGATTTGTAGAAAAAGCTTAAACTGAATGGACTTAATGAATCACTAAAGGGAATGAACCAGCAGCGCCCCTAAACCAATCTGGGGGAACCAACCTCCGCCAGAGGTGACCCAATCCGGAAGGGGATGGTGAAATCAGCTTTCCATCGTGTCCCGTTTCTGGGATACCCAACCTTGACCCATATCAAGCACCATGTCACCATGTCACCATGTCCATGTGTCCCCATATTTGGGTTATATAGAGTATCTGTTGTTGATATATATATATATATTTTATCATATATATATATAAATAATCATAATCCGAAACATAGTCATAACATCAGAATAAGCATAAATAAGAAAGTAGATAAATATAAAACAAATAAGTAAGCAAAACAAAAAATAGTGATAATAATAGTAATAATCATATGCTCTGACAATTTCTAGTATATGGGTGGTATGAGCCTGGTACCTGGGTTTTCAAGCACCGAACAGAAAGAGAATCGTTTATGTCATGATGCTCTTCCAGGGTGCTTAAAGTCTTGACCCAAACCCATATCCGACAAAATGTGCACCTACCCTTGTAGCCAATGTGACTAAGATAAATTGCCCACATGACAGTGGCCAAAACAGCATGGGTTTCCACTATTGACTTCTTGCTAACAACCACTTTTTCATCATCCAGCTTGCAAGAACATCTCTCAACTCCGGGTAGAAGTGCCCAACAAAACAGCCATCAGCAAGGTAGCTTTGCCCAAAACGATGGCGTCCACACAAACATCCAACAGTTTTTCTACAGACCAAAACTTAAAAAAAAAGTTTTACCGTTTTACCATACTTTAAAAATCAGTTATTCTAGCCATTCTAAGTAAAAATTACTATCAGGTTAGAATAACTGGGACTAGTTGTGGCTCCCGAAACCATCCCGACATGTCCAAAAGGTCGGCAGCCTTTGGGCGATAGCAATGACGGCCTCAGTGGTGGAAAATTGGACGCTCAAAAAAGCACCCAGAAATGAAGCGAAATGCGCATGTCCCATGGTTACTATGCTTGAAACTATCCAAATTTTGGAAAACCACCATAAATGTGGAATAATTAGATTGGGTGGATAAAACTGGATAAAACCAACAAACGTGGACCAAAACCTCAGAATCATTCAGAAATTACACAGCCCGTGGGTCCCAAACAGCTGTTCCATATCCAGTGCAGCGTCTGTGTGCATGTTTGTGGTTATACAGTATGGACATACATCCGGAGAGCCGGACACCACCAGCCAGATTGGGAAACAAATGAGTTGGAACACAATTGAAGACAAAGACAATGAATCTTGATGGTAAATACAAAACATTATCAACGGATTTAATTCTAGGAAAGATCCATAGTGCCCTCTAGAGAGCAAAACCCAGTCCTTTTCCTATTAGAAATGATCAAGGTTGGATGATTTTTTCCACTTAGTTCCACGATTTTCCGAGGCATGAACCTCCATGAACTTCGGGGATTCCCTGCTTGCCATATTTGACCTTTTTTTGGTTCCATAAACGTTGGCTGCATAGTTGTAGCTATATACCATCATGATATCCCAGTTGTTGGTGTAAACTCGTCTCAAAAATACTCGCCATTTTCAACCAATCATCCCAAATACGGTTGAAATGTAAGACATATTTCAAACCACCAACATTTTTTTCAACAAATACACTATTGATTGATGCGTTTCCCCAAATAATACTGGTGATATTCTATATTTGAAATACTGAAAGTATGAAACCAACACCAATTTGGCTTTCAAAAAAATAGATGAATAGCATTGAATAGCAAGGTTGGTATTTCCCAAAATGGAGGCTTCCTAAAATAGGTACCAATCATCCGAAAGCACACCAGTTTAGTATTGAACCCCATGGTGGGGTCTTCCTTAGTGCCCAGGCAGGCTGAAACTCTCCTCAATCACCGCCTGCACCTAGGGATTTCTGACGTTGAAATGGGTGAAGGGACACATCTACCGTTTTAATCCATGGGTTTCCCTGGGAAAATCGCTGGAAAACACATTAGGAAGGATTCCTCCAGATTTTCCAAGTCCGGGACAATCAACATGAATGGATGGTGGCAGATTGATTAAAAGGATGTTATCATCGCCCAAAAAGATGTAAAACAGGAGATATGAACTAGCACAAACTTGGGATATGCCAAAATCACCGAAAAACCCTGGGATTTAAGCCATGGGTATCTATTGGGGGTAACCAGGTAACCAGGTCTCATGGAGACCATGACCAGACTTCAACTTTCGAATCGCCTTAAAATGAGTGATGCACCAAAATGACAAGTTTCACGGGGAACATGAGTAAAATCATTGGATTTTTGTGGGTAAGTGGGTCTTCCAAAGACACATCAAAACGAGAAACGGAGACGGCCCGTCTCTTGGCGGCAATCAATAAGATATTCATCAACATGGCCAATCTTTGATTCATGGCACGTGTATTTAGCTATACAGTCAGTATAGCATGTGTATATATATAAATATATATGTAATACAATAATATATATATACGTATACATTATATATGTACTATATATATAATTTATATACAGTACATTATATCATATATATATATATATTCGTGTATCGTCCCCAGTTATAGCAAAAGGTTGAAGCATCAAACTACCCATCCAGTTGGTGTCCCAGAATTGTACAGCGATTTTCTGCTACTGCTGTGAGAAACTTTCAGCTACAAACTCATGCAGGAAAACGCGTTCTTTCGCTTTAAGAATCTGAGTGAAAACTGGAGCTTCAAAATCATTTACTCCTCAACATTGATTTTTAGAATGTTTTATATTACTCCCCACTGCAGAACTGCTTGCACTGCTGTGCACCAGCAGCCAGTTGTCTAGCAGTCCTGTTGGAGATTACTCGATGCGCCGACGCTTCCGGGTGTCACTCAAATCTTCAAGAGTGCACCCTGGATTTTCATTGCAGATAGTGGTGAGCAGCTGTCCGTCAGGCAAAATCAATCGGAGACTCTGGAGGCTAAGCTTCAATTGAAGGGCAATCAACTTCTGGGCATCCAAGGCCAGATCAGATGCACCAGCGTTCAGACATACCTTCTCCTCTCCAGCCATATTCGAGCATCTCAGCACAAAACCGTCATCTGCGCTTGGCTGAAATTCGAGTTGAAGAACTATGAAAGAGTTGCCAACTCGCAGATCACCTGCCAGGTTGCAATAGAAATTGTTGAAACCTGGACTGGGAATTTTGCATTGTCCATGTCGATTTCTTCCGCATGCCACAGCCTGGCCATCACTGCGGAGAAGCACGGTATGATATCCGCCTGCAGAGACTTGGGTGTAAAACAGTCCATCCTCCAAACGTGGAATGTTGCGTTGCCCATTCGTATTCTGTCCACACGCCACAGCTTTGCCGTCACTTCGGAGAAGCACTGTATGCAAAGCGCCTGCTGAGACCTGGGTGTATGATGTCCCTGGATCCAAAGACGGAATGTTACATTGTCTTGTTCCATTCCTTCCGCAGGCCAAGGCACTACCATCACTCCTCAGAAACACGCTGTGATACACGCCTGCAGCAACCTGTGTGTAAGACAGTCCTTCATCCAACGCTGGAATATTGCATTGTCCAAATTCATTTTTTCCGCAGGCAACAGCATTTCCATCACTACAGAGAAGCACTGTGTGTGAATAGCCGGCAGAAACTTGGGTGTAGGACATTCCATCCTCCAAAATTGGAACGTTGCATTGCCCATGATCATTGTTCCCGCAAACTACAGCACAGCCATCACTTCGGAGTAGCGCTGTATGTGCCCCGCCGGCAGAAACCTGGGTGTATGACATTCCCTCACCCAAAAGTGGAATGTTGCATTGTCCATGCTTCCGGTTCGATCCGAAAGCGACAGCACGCCCATCACTTTGGAGAAGCACTGTGTGGCAACCACCTGCGGATGCCTGGGTGTAGGATCCGTTGTCAGGGCGCCCTGGAACGTTGCATTGTCCATCAAAACTTCTCCCGCAAGCTGTAACTTGGCCATCACTTCGGAGAAGCACGGTGTGAAGCATTGGCAAAAAAACGAAGAGCGGTGTGCACAAATGAAAGCATGAAAATCATTGCTCCTATCTAGAGAATTTCCCGTGTTGATAAGTAGTACTTGAATGCTTCATGATGCAACATATCCTTTATATATCTGTTTATTCATTTATATTCTAGTAACCCAAAACTAAAACACAGAATTGATTTCATTTCCCATAGTTTTAGTATGTTTGAGTAGGATTCATAAGTGTTCTATCTCAACTTGGAGGTTGCCAAGTTACAGTTCCTGAGCTGAGCTTAGTCAGCCGGGCTGTTGCTTTGAGCTGTAGCATCTGGCTGAATTTTAGTACTGAAACAAAGTCATTTTGGGGGGTTCCATAAATGCGGGTACCCAAAATGGATGGTGTATGATGGAAAATCCCAAAAAAAACATTGGTGATTTTAGGGGTACCAACATTTTAGGAAACCTCCATTTGCTGCTGCTGCCTTTCGTTGTCAGGTTCTTCCAATTCTCCCAAACGGTCTTGTCAGTCTATCATAATGTCTTATCCTACGCTGTTGAAAGCTGGTCGAACCCTGGTTGATGATATGTCTGCATGATGGATTCAACAACCCTTTTCGTAATTACAAAAAAAACAATCGCTGGTGTTGCTGCCAAAAACGACCCTATAGTTTGTGAATCATCTCTCGATTGTCCAAACTCAGGGCACCTCAGATGCCATGCGGACTATGTTTTGTTCAAATAAAACTTGGGTATCCATTACTTTATGACCGACCCAAATGATGAAGTTTGGATATTTATCCCCATTTACAATCATGGCATCCTCTATGTTCGTATGTCAAGCCCCAATTTAACTGTATTGCCAAACCAATAATTTACAAAAAACAACACATACAGGAAAGCGTTGTTTTTACCATCGAATACATTGTGGGTTCCTGTAACTCTTCCCATCAACGTATTTCATGTACATTAATGTACGTATCTATGTACTGTACTTATGTAGCTATGTATGCATGCACTTAAATGATCTTAAATGTACTTATATGGATGTACACAAGCCACACAGGCATTTCCACAATGGCTTTCCCACAAAAAGTTCCCACTGTTGAATCATTCCCCCAGCGAATCGCAACGGGTCAATGGGTCAACGTCCACGTATTCGGAGACGGCACCTGTTCCAATGCCACTTCCTCCTCCTGAGCTCTGTCCTGGATTTCGGGGGGAACATCTGTTGGCAAAACATGACTTAAAACACCCCAAGCTAAACTCATGGATTTCAATATGTATTAGTATAGCTATGTATAGCTAAACTGGAAACTGTCTCTCACACTGGAACAATAAGAACTGAACAACGAAACGTGTGAGCCGCTACATTGGGGATTTAAGCATTTTTAACAAAGACAAAATCCCAAGGAATCAAAGCACTTCAAGCATGCAAGACATTGCAAGACTGGGGGCTCAAAAGAGTAAGCATCAACAACGGGTCAACCACAGGAAGATGCTGAGATGCCCATTCACAATGAGGGGTGGTGGATGGTGATACCCACTGAAGCTCCAGTTCACCATGAACAGTGTGTGGATAACCATGAAAAGGCTTCAATGACGGGTCAAAACCGTCTCTGAAAAATGTGCAGCAAAACCAGATTTAAAAGCTTGAGTGATATAGTAGTTGAGAATATGGAATATTGATACGTAGATCTATACCAACATATACCATTAATTCCCATTAAAATTGCAGTAGTTGAATCTTCAATTTCGAGGTTCACTTTTCAAGAAGCTGGTGACCGTAGGTCTGTCCGTTGAATCCCTGGCCTTTTTTGCGTCGCTGTTCCCGGCACCCAGATGGATCCATTGGTAGCGAATAAATTTTAAGCTATAAATGAGCTTTTCTGGTTGGTGGTTGACCTACCCCTCTGAAAAATGATGGACTTCGTCAGTTGGGATGATGAAATTCCCATATATGAAATGGAAAATATAAAACGTTTGAAACCACCAACCAGTTTTTTATGCACCATCACGATCATCACACCATCCCCTTTTCCTTGGTATCTTACACCTGGATGGGATGGTCAAACTGCAAGGGTCCCCAAACCCAGTCACGCCATGAGATTGCACCATACTAAAAGCTTCCAGATGACATCCCAACCAAAACTCGTTATATACCCCCATGACACCCCCTAAGCACCTATTTTTCCGGGTAAAATCCTAAGTTTTGATGCTTCACATGCAATGAATTTCATGGCTTTCCCGCCTGGAGCTGACAGAGTTTCGCCCTCGCCAAACGTAGCCGTCGTTTCACCTGGGACCAGCGGGTTTTTGTTGTGGAGTGGGATATCCTGCAGGTGTCTGCAAGTTGACATAGATATGAATTTCTCCATGTGTTTTCCTTGGACATGATCTACAGTTATGGCCATTTACCAGTTATAACTGGTTATAAATGGGATTATACATTCTATAAATGGGGTTATGAGTACTTATAACTGATAAACGGCCATAGCTGTACAATGGTGGATTCTCTCTATCTTAGTTTTCTGGAGGATAACTATAATGCTTCAACCCCCAGTTCCAAAGACAAACATGGAATTTCGCTTGACATTTGGTCAATCCACATTTCATCACCAAGACTAAGGGTTCAATATCCGGCTGATAGGGATTCATGGGATGGCTTCTTAATCTCAATGGATTTTTCCCAGGCCAAGGGCTATGCAAAACTGCCACATCAACACAGGTGTCCCCGAGAATCATCCCATATCATCCGGTGCAGCGCCTGCGCAACCCAGAGCCAATGGACACCTGAGAGGGGTCTGGGGAGGTTGCGATTCATGCCTTGCATCCCGTTAGAAACATTGGTGGCATTTGATGGATCTATTCCTCGCTTCCATGATTCAACATATTGGGGATATATTATTCAACACTAGGGGGATGTGTTCTTTCCGCAGGGTACCTTTACCAAAGCCCCAGGGTACGTCCAATTTGGTCCTATGGATTGAAACTTGAACAACGCCAGGCAAAAGCTGGTTAGGCCTTGGCCCATTTTTCACCCGACCAGCCTCGATTCCAATCCCTGTTTATTACATCTCCATGCTCGGAAGGGCTTGAACTCGAGGGAGTTGCCCCATTCTATCCACTGGCTTATCATCATCGTCCCTACTTAGTGGCTCGCGGGGCATTATCCTTCATTTTCCGACACAGCAACAAAATGGCTGATACTCGTCATGAGTTTGTGGCAAGTTGAAAAACCAAGTGGTTTGTAGTTCACATCCCAAACATGCTGCCAGAAGGGTCCATTTTGGGATGTCAAGAACAAGCCAGCTCTTGTTTCATTTGCTCTTGACTCATTCCGACCCGGTTCAAAGACATAGGGGCCAACCCCATATATTCTCTGGTTGGTGGTTTTAACCATCTTGAAAAATATGAGTTCGTCAATGGTTGGTGGATTATCCCATATCATATATGGAAAATAAAAGCCATGTTCCAAACCACCAACCAGTTAGCCACTAATGTTAGTGGATGTTAATGGATGTTAGTGGATGCATGTTAATCATTTATAATCATTAATTAGCCACTAATCTTTTTGAAATTATTTTTGAAGTGGGTCGAAACCTCATTTTGCGACTGCTCAAATCTACGACAGTCCGGTGCCTGGAATCCCTTCACTTTTCGAGCGACATACGTTTGAAATGCTGTGGTGGGGAGATGTCTCACTAGTTTCTGGTAGATCTCCTACTCTCATCTGGGGAAATTTGCATCACATTACCAAATTAGAATGAACAGAATAAATTTGGGGATTACAAGCCATCATTTTGGGGATGAGTATCATTTACATGGGGATAACTATTTATGTAAACTGTATATATTTACTGCCACGTTTGGCGACACCGTTGCGGGTATCATTTTGCTCCAAGAAGCTGGAACAAACATCTCGTGGAGAGCACTTCTGGCCCGGGCGAAGGCTGGGGATGGGCCAAAAATCAAAGCTGTTTCGGATCAACATTTTTGGGCTGGAAAGAGATGGAACTAGTCAACTGGTTCAATATTCAAAAATAAATGATCCTTATATATATAAACCATTTGGAATCATCATCCCAAATCTCACCAAATTGGAGGACATTGAGCCCATCAGAAGGCCATCAGAAAAGGGGATATACAATAATCAATGTGCATATTATCATGATATATAATAACTAATATATATATATATATTATAAAAAATGATATATATATATATGATATGATATATATATATATATGTTATATAAATATGATATGATGTATATATATATATATACATGATATCTATATATATATATATACATATCATATGCATATTATATATATGATTATGATATATATATGATATATATATATATATGATATATATATATATGATATATATATGATATATATATATATATGATATATATATGATATATATATATATGATATATATATATATGATATATATATATGATATATATATATATATATACATATGATAGATATAGGATACATATATATATAAATATGATATATACATATATGATATATAAATATGGTGTATTTATATGATATATATATATATGATATGTGTATATATATTTATAAATATAAATATACAATATATATAGTCACATACGTATCCAAAAAATGATGATAATATCTCCAACGCAAAGGCGGGTCACATCGGGTGACATCGTATTTCGGCATGGCTTGGCTCAAACGATCAATCCACCACTTCATTTTGCCACACAATCACGAACAGTCAACCCCATTGGTTTGAAAGATCTGAAGATGTCTAAGATCAATCCTCCAGTCAGATGTGTATCGTCTCAATACACCACGAGACCATGACACAAATCTCGTGGGAATCCTGGCCTTGAAGGTCAGAACCTCGTGGTTGAAGAAGAACGCCGCTGATGCTTGGAAAACCTTGGAATTTCTTGGAGACTCATCCCATCCCCATGATGACAAAGGTCCCAAAGGTCCCAAAGGTCCCAAAGGTCCCAAAGGTCCCAAAGATGTGGATTCATCCCCTACGTTTACCATGGTTTAGTAAGGGCGGTGTTCAATACGAATGGGATTATTATTCTGGTTGGTGGTTTCAACCCCTCTGAAAAATATGAAAGTCAGTTGGGATGATTATTCCCAATATATGGAAAAATGTTCCAAACCACCAATCAGTATTGCATTTATGTTGCATTTATGAATGTTTGTTCGGGTACTCAAACATGAGTGGAACATGCGCCACTTATAGATGATGTTCCCATCTGGGGGATTTGCTAGCCATGTTTGATGACACTGCATGACACTGCATGACACTGCATGACACTGCATGACACTGCATTAAAACATACCTGCTCCGAGTTGCGTTTCATTTCTCTTGGCAAGGACCTTAAGCCTTTTGAGCTGGCCATTCTGCGTTGAATGCGGAACTAAACTAACAGCTGATGTCGCAAGAGGTTTGCTTGACAGTCTGGAGACCCAAGCACAGTGCCACAAGTTCGGAACACGTCAAGGATGAAAACCCAACTGCTGTAAGTGTTGTGGAACTTGGCAAACAATCCTTTGGATGGAGATGCGGCTTGTCTTCGGGCCATGTCAATAGTCCAGCTGCGAATCTCCAGCTGTGTCAGTGGGGCCTGGGTTGGATCTAGCTTCGGAACTTCGCCGTGAGCTGGGCAGTTCATGATCACAGAACCAAGCAGATCCCACAACGGTTGGTGTTTCGGGATGGAAGATATTGAACATGTGTGTACTCTCCGGCAATCACACATGGCTTATCATGGCTTATCATGGCTTGCTGGAAACTACTCCAAGAAAATAGATGATTTAGCTATAGACCTCCAGTTATAGTCAGCTAATTAAATAATCTATAAACCATAGTTATAATCAGCTATAGACCTCCAGTTATAATGGGGATTTCCAAACGCCACGTTTGACAACACCAAGCCACCTGCGGATGAAACCAGGAACATTCGACCGAACCCTTCACCGTGTTTCCGCAGATTTGGGTTCAACATATTCACCCGTCAGCATATCAATATATACCCTCTGGTAAACTAACATAGCTATGGAAAATCACAATTTTTAATGGGAAAACTCACTATAAATAGTCATTTTCAATAGCTATGTTAGTTTACCAGAGGGTATATATATATATATGAAAAAAATGATAAAAGATGTACTGATATACTCTTTTTTGGACAAACCCAAATGTTATCCAGTATCCCTCGGTCCCCCGGCATAGCCCAGCAGGGCCAAAGGTGTAGCCCAAACAGCTTGCGCAACGCCTGTGGTGTTGCTGAGCGGAATCTCATGCAAACACCGAGGAACACGGGGAGATGAGATATTTTTGGCCAAACAATCGGGAAAAACATGGGGAAAACCTGGGACATTTACCTGCAATAAGCTTGGAAAACATGGGGTTTACCATGGTTTACCATCATGGTTTGGTCCACTTCTGACCGCCTTGCGGTGTTGTACCCTTCACCAGGCCCCGTGGACAACGTTGATCTTTCGCCCCACGTGCTGATAAAACTGCCTGGTCTAATGCCACACTCGTGCAACTTCCCGGTATTCTTGGGTAAATACCTCGCATGTTACGATGTTTGATTGCCATTCGATATCCCTGTTCCATCTTGATGATCTCTGCGTACTTGCCTTTGGGAAAGCTGTCGTGACTATCCTAGTTTAGTGAGAGACTCCCGCTATATTTTGATGGTTTTTTGTACCACGATTCTCATCTGGTTGGTGGTATACCGACCCCTCTGAAAAATGATGGACTTCGTCAGTTGGGATTATTATTCCCAACTGAATGGAAAGTCATAAAACTTATGTTCCAAACCACCAACCAGTCATGATTCTCATGGTACCGCATTTTTGCTGGTCAAATGGCAGTTGCCAGAGATCAACCCAGACCATCCCCATGAAATCTGCCGGCCCTCAATCCCCATGACTGGTAGCGCGAGCTCACCAAGGACCACATGGGAACATGGACATGCTCAAGAGAGTAAAATCATCTAAACATGGGTAAGTGTCCATGACTATGTTAAGTTTTCAGAGAGTATTTCTAACCACATTTGTGTACCATAAATCAACCATAATTTCTAGATTCTGTCCCAATGTCTGGTGTGTTTTTCCCCTGAATTCTCACTGGCCAAATCCAATTCTGCACCATGAAACAGTGACCCATCCCACATGGCCCCCATTGAACTGTCCATATCCCCAGGCATGATACCAACAGATCCCAAAAAAACATCAGTAAAATACTTTTTCGTATCGTTTGGTGATACATCCCATATTTTATCCCAACAAATTTTTAAAGTCTTTGATATTATGGTTAGTCGTCTGGAGTATCCCATTGTTTTTTCTAGCTAATAAAATATACCTTTGAAATGGTTGGTTCATATCCCCGTATAGGTGGCGAACATCCCCAAGTTTGCTGGTTCTATCTATCATTCGCCTGGAATCAGGGTGCATGTTCAACCAGAAAGCTAGGATTGCCATCTTTATTTCAATTCCCATAAATTCGCAACATAGGTTTACTATTGGGTATACTCCTCTATGACTGGGATGATGTGTAACCAATGGGATGCTTCATTATTGGCTTATCCATTCTAAGTATTGAGTTCCTTGATTTACCATGATTTACCTATAGTAGCACTGGTGGTTTTTTCCATAGCTATAATGAATGTCCATAAATACCGATTTCGGGGAATACCGGATTCCTCTTCAGGATTTCTGACATGTTCCCATAGGTCCATGGCACCTGTGCCCAGCGAGTCCTGAAGCTCCTGGCCGATCGGGGGCACCCCTGGCATCATCCAAGTCATGGATGACCATACTATTGAAACCATTGAAACTGATGAATATCATGAATTTTGGGTACCCACTTTGTAAGAAACATAAAACAATGGTGATTTTACCAGCAAGACACGCGACTTTCCCAGCTAACATTGGGCTTTAGCTAGAGCAAACGTGTGAATTTGACCGGCGACAAATGCATTTCACCCGCCAAAATCTAACAAGCAGAACTTGATCCGTCGCCGGGCCACATCAACGTGTTCAGTTGCTCATCCCGCCAAAAAAAAAGGGCGCATTTCACGGACTTTGTCTGGACATCATTAAATCCCATTAAATCTCCATTAAATCCCATATTAACCTCCATAAATCATATTAAATCTCCATTAAATCCCCTTAGTTTATAGGTAACCATCATCTGCCGCTTTCGGTTTTTCTTAAGACCTTCACCAGCGACGAAAAAACGGCGTGCCTCAAAGAACTGCCCCCCCAGCGTAGCGGTGTAACGCCTGCGGTTTATGACATGGGATGACGTACCAGCGAAATGCCCAACATAGGGTTCCCCGCTAAAAATGGAAACTTGTTTACATGTTTTTTTTCAGGAAAATTGTTTCTCTTTTAATGATTGTGAGTAAAATATTGATTTGGGCGGTGAATGGACATGGTTATTTCCTTTTCGAAATGTATTCTTCTGTTAAATTTGATTTTGAACTCGTGATTCACATAGACACGTTCTTTTTTAAGGAAATGGCCATGAATTTGATGCCGCATCCCAAGTGTACTGCGGTGGGTGCAAGCCCATACTTGAAACATGTGAATTGTAAAATAAATATGACATAAACATGTTTTAAAACACATATTCAATATAAATATCTATCGAAAATAACCAGACTTGACACATTTGAAACCAGCCAGTCCCAGTGGATCCGACTCCAAACCATCCATCCAGTCGGTTTCCCTAAATGGTTCTCAAACCACCCAAATAGGCTTTACATAACTATTTTCCCAAGATTTCCCCAATTGTTGATGTTTATTTAGCCAGTTTCTATCCAATGTTGTACCGTTGCCAGCAGGTCTTACCATCGTGCCATGGCACGTGAACCAGGGCGACATAGCCATTGCCAGAGCGGTAACACTCAGCAATAGGTAGCAACCCTGCAGGCTGGGTGGATTTTCCACACTTCGCAGGAAACCATGGTGTGAAGCATCACCAAAAAAAGGGGTATACTGTAACTCTATGTGTGTATCATATTGTATAGTTATATGTGTGACAGTATATATATATATAAATACAAATATAGTTAAATTTTATATAGTATTATATCTATATACACTACGACGTGTATAGGTGTACATAAATGCTGCAATGCTGCACGTGGGTACAAAACTCTATGTGCAATTTGTAGATATACATATATATATACTAAGCCATTCCGCAGTTTGCCCTCTGCCTTAGACCATAATTTGAGTTATTACCAAAATCAACTTGTGGAGGTTTGACCTGCAGCCATGTAGAAATGTGTTGAGGGGCGTGAAGGTCCACTCATACAAGCTGATTTTGCTGGGTTTTGATCCACAGCCAACGAACATCATCAGCTTAAAACATGATTTACACTCGCCTGTTCAGAAGAATTCTGGCTGAAATTACCTAATTTAGCAATGAGAAAAAACAAATCATGCTTAAGATCATCATTCTCCCTCTAAAAAGCAAGCAAGAGTTCTGTTGATACCACCATTTCCAAACGACACATCCGCCTTCAAGGCATTCCAACGACTCCCTAAGACGGTCATGGCGGCCGAGAGGATAGCCACATGCCTGGAGTCCGAGTCCGCTGAAAATCATCAACGATCCGTTGAAATATGAAGCAACGACTGGCTTCAATATACAGTTTTGGCCATTTACCAGTTATAACTGGTTATAAATGGGATTATACATTCTATAAATGGGGTTATAAGTACTTATAGCTGATAAATGGCCATAACTGTAGATTTTTTAAATCATATTCAAAATGATTTTCAAAAATCTATGCATCTAAAATCCCAAATTATATTTTTGACATTCAGTGACATGAATCCAGTATTTAACCATCATCCCTGGTTGGTGGTTGACCTACCCTCTGACAAATATGACTTCGTCAGTTGGGATGATTATTCCCAACTGAATGGAAAAATAATCCAAATGTTCCAACCCCAACCAGATATGTTCAATGAATTCGGGCAAACAAAAAATGTATCAGTTGGTTTTTTTTTAAGCATATTTTGAACCAACATTGTAAAAAAAGGAGTAAGTCTCAATATTTCTCAATAATTCAACTGAGGGAAAACTTCACCCCATCTTCCGAATCACTCCCAGGTGGACCTGGGCTGATCCCGCCGGGGAATTCCCAAGATTTTGGCAGTCCAGAATACTGAATCAACCATAGGTTAATTACCCTCTGGTTATGACTAACATAGCCATGGAAAAGATGGCCCATAGAAATAGTGGATTTACCGTTCTTATAGGTTTTCCATGGCGAACTGTTAAATAACCAGAGGGTAATAATAAATTAAACTTTAGTGATCAAGCAAAGTGAACTAGTCATTGGTCACTTGGATGTCCGATTTGATCCCATTTCGAGCACATATCAGCCAGTATAACAGAGTACAAACCAGTATTTCATTTAGTGTCTTGGTTGCAGGCAAATGACTATCAACTCTGGGTCCATGCGAACTAGCCCGAAAGCTCGGAAATTGATTTTAATCGTTACTTTCCGTTCACTTTGACATTTTACCTATTCCCCAAAGATTTTATCGATTCTCCTAATTTTTCATGGTGCATCAGCATTTTTTCTATTAAAGTTCACAAATTCAAGCAGCTGCCCAGGATTTCTTACAGTTTTCCCAGTTCCATCGGTCCAGTTGATCTCCAGAGACTTTTTGGGTCAAAATGGCTGAACAGGTGAAATAACCAACTTCTTCCCCAAACGTAGCTATGATTCAACATGGAACAGAGCAACCCTGAATCTTTCCTATCATCATCTATCATCTTTTTCCCCAAATTAATTTCGACCTTCACTACTCGCAGTACCGCAGTATACGACCAAGTGCCAAATCGGAGATGACTGGCCGGTCACTGGCAATGTCGGTAGGGGATCCCAGTAATCAACCTTTCGGTAGTTGCATCATCCCAACCCAACTAGGGTATACCGAGTAATGTTTTGGAAAACTGGGGATGCTTTCTTTGAACTTATCGTTATCCCAAAGTCATCCCATATGTTGTAATACTTATCCCATAATCATCTCATAATTTCTCGGTTTTCCATGTATAATCTCCCATGTTCCGACATAAACCCAACCGTTTCTGGGCTCATAACCACGAAAAATACCCCTATCTCATCCCAACACACCAGATTTTGCCAGCTTTTACTCCCAGGCAGGTGAATATCCCCTACAATTAACAACAGCATCTTAACCCGAAAATCAAAAATGGCAACAGAAAGAAATCTGGGTAAATTATCCTATTTCAGCTGAATTAAGGCCATGACTGGGGATGATTTCCCTTATTAACATTTATTAACCATGATGGGATGATTCACCATAGAAACCCAGGGATGTTTACCCATCAGCTTCCGAAAATGGGGATGATGACCCGTTCGGGAGAACAGGCACCTCATGGTATCGATCACGATGGAGAGCAGCAGCGCTGCCGCGAAGATGCTGGACCGCGCAGCGCTGCCTGTTTGAGACCAGCTTTGCGTGTGTGTTTTTAAGATGTTTAAGCCATAAAAATGGGAGAAGTAGTTGATACTAACATCTACTAACCAACTACAACATCTAATATGAAAGAACCAACTAAGTTTAACATATACTAACCAACATCTAATTGTAGTCTATGTGTCTACAATGAATAAACTGGGTGATTTAAACTATAATCTTCCAGCCATTGGCTGATTCAAGTTATGACCATGCGGAGATTAAGCAACTATAAGCAACTAATATCATGTCTCAATTGTCACCGTATTTTGGGAAGGAATATCAACACACACATGGGATTCGTCTGTCAAGAATGAGAATCTCATTGATGTGGGGAAAGGTCAAAACCATCAAACATGGATGCGTAAGCCAAAGACATGAAATAGTGAAGATCAAATCTACAACCCCCCTGGAAGTCCCTCCTGTACTCCAATGTGGCAATTGAACATCACCCATTGATATCCGTGCTGCCGTGCTGCGCAAGGTTTCTGGTTAACAGAGGGTAATTTGCAGGAACTTGTTGTGTAATTAGGTGAATGGCCCCCCTGTGCTTGGAGGTAAAAAATATCCCATGTCATCAATTTCATTGGCCCAATCACAAGTTTTGTTGATTAAAAACCCCGATGTTTGCAATTGAAAACATCAAATCCCGTCTTTGAGTTGGATATCTATTTTTCGAATGTTCAACTCATCACTTCACCAATGAACCGTGTCTGGCACCATCACAACAGCCCGCCTCTGGAATCGTACAAGGCAACTACCCGCAGGAGCCTGGGCGTTGCCAGTCAAGACAAACTATTTTGGGGGTCCCATGATTAAAACGTAATTCAAACATATCAAAACTAAATTGAAATCAGATAACATGTTCCTATGTTTCATGTATTCCAGAATTTTCAGGAAATTACCATCCTCCCAACCAAGGTAGACCCTCAGGTTATAGCCACAACGTGTTCCTTTTTCGCTATGGCTCTCAGCTTCGCACGCTCCGCTGGGTAGGAAACAGGCAAAGTCTCGCAGGGCCCAGGGGCCCCAAACCTGATTTCGACAAGGAAATCACATGATAAGTACATAGACTGTACATGACGGACATATTATATGTGCTTTTTTGTGTGACGGAAATCAAGGACCTCCCCAGGTTTGATGATGGTGATCTTGGCGGTGCCAAGTTTGAGAAACCTTATGTTGTATAGAGAGACGGAATGATACGGGGGTGTTGCCCCAAAAAATAGCGTTGCTGATCTGTTGAAAGGATTGCTGAAGTTTCAGTGAGGCATTTCCCTCATCTACCTACAGTACCAACGATCTCTTCCCCCGATTCACCCATCCACCCTTTACCCGCGTTGCGCAGCCGCAACATGCCGCCTGCATGCGTCGGAGATGCCCGAAGCTCGTGTGAAGGATCAATGGGAGTGCCACAACCACCTGGCATAGCAGGTCTCCAGGGTTTTGCAACTCCCAAACATTTTGAATGCCAAAATGATTGCCTTCCATCAAGATCGCATATCCGCCATAGTGTAGATCGGCACCCCTGAAATATAAAAACCCACTGGCAATTAACATTCCTCAGATTCTTTGTTGGAGACCACAACTTCCCAATACTAGTTTTAAACATATGCCCAAAAAATCTGGGTAAACATCGCCCAAATTCCAAACTCATGCGCAGCTCAAGGGTATGGTATGGTATGGTATGATGCAACAAAGTTCAGGCTAGTTCGCGGACAGCTCTCACTTCATTTCCACATCGGCCATTTTCGGCTGGGATTTCACCATCTGAAATGGTGGTATAATTGAACCATCCACAATTGTGATTTTAGCATCGCAGGGATTGGGACCAATGCCGCTGTGGTGATTGGCCCTCGGCTCATTGAGACGAACTTCAGTACTGAGTTCAACCTCTCGTGAACCATCTCAAAACAAGGCATCACCCAAGTTTTGGGAATTTGGTCCCAAAATAGTTGCTAACTGGTTGGTGGTTGACCTACCCTCTGAAAAATGATGGAGTTCATCAGTTGGGATGATGAAATTCCCAACTGAATGGAAAATCATAAAATTCATGTTCCAAACCACCAACCAGCTAAGTCGATTTATGACCCTGTTGGATGAATAAATGCATTTACTATGTGATGGACATACTGTGGATGGTTCAGAAATCCTGCACCAGGCAGGGTAACTATTGGGATTCCTATGAAACATTGTAGATCATGGGGTTATAATTGGATAAACCATCTACCAACAGGTGCAGGATTTCATAACCATCCATGCAGTATCTATGGTATTTTTTTTCGGTTTGACGAACTGGGATGATCGATGGAGAATCTTGAAATTTTCCAAGGCCGGCCATTTTTATTTAATCTCCTATGGCTGATGGTGCCCCAGTTCGGAATCGCTAAGTTGGCGCAAATAACTCCAATTTCACTTAGTTTATGGTAGATATATTGACATATTTACTATATGGTTTATAAACCAACAAACGTAACTGGGGGGGTACCACCTTGTATGGCTGAACACTACATCCTTCCTGTATCATCCATTTATGAGAGACTGTGAACTTAATCTGTTCATCGCATCATCCCACCAGTCATTTGTATCATCCATTAACATCCATTAACATCCATTAACCCTAACTAAATTGACCCAACTCAGGACATGAAACAAGAGGTACAAACCCATCATTGGATGATTTAAGAATCAACTAATGTTAAGCAGTAAATCATCCAAACTAACATAAGGCACTAACCACTAACTGACCTCAGGGCAACAGAATGGCACTGGCTTGCATGTTGTTTATGAAAAAAATGCATTCAACATGTATCCCTATAATCTGAACATGATGAATATCATAATCAAGCATAATAATTAACTAGTTGTATTATTACAACTAACAAACAATCATGCACAATCATCATTATCGTCTAGACTGTGAATACTAGTTGGTCCGTATAGTGATCATATGATGAATAATCAGTCAAAACTCAACATATGGATCCACATGCATACTGGAGGTGATCAGTCATAACCCACGTATACAAAGATTCATGTAATCCGTACATAGTTGCATCATCTATACAATCCATCGTATCTGTAAATAGTTAACTGATCCAAAAAAATCCATCAAATATACACATCGTGAAATACATACTTAGATTACTTAGTCATAATCCATGTATAGCTGTCTAGATCCATCTCAGAAAAACTAAGCTATGTGAGTGTATAGATATATAGTTAAATCATAAGTCTAACTAATAATAGATTCTTAACTAATAGTGAGTTAACTCATATCTTCATCCACAATCGCTTATATTATAGTCAAAACATCATTTTCCTAATAGTGGATCAATCCATACTATGATCCACAATTATTAACATAATCAACTATTACATGCACAACCAACTCATTATCACATATTTATATTTCCGATTCAATTGGGTCGGCTGAGCGAGCAGTTAGGGAATTAAAAGAATCCTTTTCTGTATTAAGGGCTGATCTGAATCCACAAGGGTTGGATGTCACGTTTTCACATGAGAATTTGGTTGATGTTTTGACGTATTTGGCTTTGTGCAACAACCATTTTTCAACATCGAGAGGTTCAGACAGAAGTCCATTGGAAATGGTTTCAGGAAGGAAGTTATCCAAACCAGTTTCGACTTTGTTTGGTGCTCAGGTTTTGGCAGAGATTCCTGATTCAATTCGGCAGCATTCACCACTTTCAACGAGGAATGTTGAGTGTACTTTCATTCACATGGGATTGGAACGAGGTCCAGTTGTGCAGGGTCTCATTCGTGTGGATGGCAAAGCTGAGTTGATGCGTTTTGTAGCTAGGAACATCAGGGCTATTTCACCTTTGAGATGGGATTTGAATTCGGGACAGGGTGTTTTGACACAGTTTGATACTGGGACTGTAGGTAGTAGACCCCAAATTGTGAATGACAGTGGGACTGCACCAGCTGATATGAGTCAGCTACCTCCTGAAGAGTTGCGAAGGTTGAAAGGGCAGAGTTTGCCGGCACCTTCACAGCCCAAACTTGTCTTGCCAGAGTCCAGCAGTGTGAAGAAGAAATCTGGTGAGTTGCGTTTGGCGCCAGCAGTGCCATTGGCAAAATCGAACGTTGTCGTGACTCCACAGGAAGTTCCAGCAGAGCCGTCTCGAGTTTCTGTCACTCCATCTCCTACGTCACCAGCAGATACTGCAGATGTAGCTATTGGTAGTCCTGAGAGTTCTGAAAGAACTTCACCTGACGTATCACGTTTTGAACCGACTCGTCGATGTCCAGCATGTGAGAGTGGCATGGAAGCACCTGGTATTAGGCACAACAAGGAATGTAGGAAGCGTTTTGCTGAGTTTGAGGAACAACGGAGAAAGGAAAGACGTGTTGAACCTGCACTCTCTCAGGAGAGCCCTGTAGTTGTACCCCAGGTTCAGGTACCAGTGGAAGAGGTCGATGATGATGAAATGGTATCAACACCTGAATCCGCTCGGCGACGGCCGGAAACACAGGTTGAGTACACTAGAAGGTTTAAAAGGAAAGCTGAGACCGACCGAGAACAGTTGGAAAGAGAGATCCGTGAAGATTCTGAGGAACTGCTTCAAACAAACATGGATTTTGATTGGTTTTGGGTTGGTAGTGGTGAGCCTGTGTTGGTTGCGAGTTTGGGTACACTTGAAGGTCCAGCGTCTTTTGCTCCGGCAACATCTCCTGAAATGTTTTCTGGTTCTCTTGATTCTGTTTGTTTCAATCGAGGCAATGAGCATGATTTTGTGAAGATGCGTCTTGGAGGTCAGGATGTCTTGGTTTGGAAACCGGACAGTATCATAGATGACCAGAGTTTGCAAGAGCTTGATTTGGAACAAGGTTTCAAGGGTATGCAGGAAGAGGTTAGGAACTTGGAACACTGCAAGACTGGTCGCATCATCACCCAGTCAGAACTGGACGACATGAAGAAGGCTGTTCCGAACCTTCGTTTGATCCAGTCGAGGTGGGTTGCAGCTTACAAGAGCAGTGAGAGGGTTCGAACCAGGATTGTTGCGAAGGACTTCAATCGTGGCTCCTCAGCTAGATCTTTAGGATTTAGCAGTCCGACTCCTTCGATTGAGAGTGTTCATTTGGTGCTTGCAATGGCAGCGACACGGAAGATGCTTTTGCGTGCATTGGACGTGAGTCATGCCTTCATGCATAGCCCATTGGGAACTGGTGTACATGTTGTCTTGAAAATGCCGTTGTCGATTAGCTTTCCATCAGGTGAAGCGACCTACTATTTGCTTGAAAAGGCATTGAACGGGTTACGTGATGCTTCACTGGCATGGTTACAGCTTTTGACATTCACGGTTGAACATGTAGGCCTTTGGTCTGATTCGCTGGAACCATGTGTGTATGGTGGACAGATTGTGAAAGATGGTCATGAAATTGGATTTTGCTTGTGTGTGGTGTATGTTGATGACATCTTGTTGTTGTCGACCACTAAGGAAGCCGAAGAACATGTGGTTGCAACTTTGTCGTCTGTAGTGCCTGTGAAGACAACTGGAGAGATCGGAGAAGAGGGAGGATTTGGTCGTGTCATCAAAAGAGAAAGAGATTCCTCTGAGATCACTCTGGGTGTCGATCCACATTATCTTGACTCTACGTTTCTGGATTATGGTGTTACTCGTGGGTCTGAGAATGTTCCTGACATTTCGGGACATCTGGAGAAAACACTCACGGATAGCAACTTTCAGAAACCTTTGTCAGATGAAGCATACTCACGCTTCAGGAAAGGCGTTGGGAAAATTGCTTTGGTTGTCACAGGTGCGTCATGACTTGAAGACATGGATGTCTGTTCTTGGGACGCAACAGGCAAAACCGATGCACGGAACTGAACAAGCATTGAAAGCAGTTTTGAGATTCTTGTATGTTGACATGCATGCATGCTTGTGTTTACCGAGCAGAGATGAGACCATCATGAGTCAGGTTGATGATACTCAACTGAGATCAGTCCATCTTCACTCTTTCAGCGACGCTTCACATGCGCCGTACCGTTTCAACAACCGCAAAGGTGTTAGCGGTGGAGCTGTTTTCTTTGAGAGGTCTTTGGTAAGGTCTCTGAGCCGACAACAGCAAGCTTTGAGCTTGAGTTCATGTGAGGCAGAACTTTATGGTTTGCAATCAGTGTGTCAAGAAAGCGTTGCGTTTGGAAGACTGGTTCACCGTCTTCTTTTTGCACTTCATGAGATCGATGAGCCAGAAGAAGTTGTGATTTGGTTGGAGAGCGATTCAAGCTCCGCATTGCAACTTGTGAGATCCATGGACGTGCCACGACGTTCGCGACACATTGAAATAAGATTGCATTGG